TTTTTACATTTTACTGCTGGAATGCTTAAAAAAACCACCAAGTACAGAGGAACGCGTGGATAGAGAAATAAAAGTTCATTATTTCAGACGGAGTAACCTCTCTGCTTGAGGAAATGATGATTTCTTGGCGATTTCTGTCGAAACATGGAAAATCTAGGATCCTAACAGAAAAGTGAGTGGAATTTTTCCTTCTCTGTCATCTCCTTCCATGGGAAGAGAAACAAGAAAATACTGTATGCAGAAAGATAAAGCAAGCATATGAAAGGGAATATACCAAAGTGGTACACTCATGCTTTTCCCCAGTACTGCCTTTCCAGAGTTGTCTCTGTTTTAAAACTGTGCCTCTGTGCAAGCACAACAGCAAGGCACATCAGCTGTCAGGATGCACAAAGCAGTGGCATAAACTCTAACTTGGGAAAAAGTGTCCATGGTGAATGGGCTGAGGTCGTAGTCTGCAAAACTGATTCTCAAAATACTTTGTGTATTAAAGAATCAGAAGGATCAGCTCAGTCCTTTTGACACTGTAAAAATATCACATCCTTGGTACTTACACATGATTTGCAGTTCTATCAAAGGGTCCTTTCATAGTCACTATGTCATTTGAGATTCTCATGATGAAGAAGCAAAGGTAACATCCACACTTTAAAACAGACGGCTACAGAGAAGCACCGAAGTCTTGGAAACATCACATCAATGCTCTGCTTATTCTAGTTCTCACCTTTTTTTCTTTAGTGCTACAAAGCTTTTGCTCTAACCAGGAGAACTAAGAATCTGGACAACACGTATGTACTGATGTCATACTGCAAAACAGGAGAAACTTCCTCTCATACAGTGATTTGCTGACAGCAGTTGGAAGGTCTGGTTGCATTTTCTAAAACTGTTTCAGCTCAGTATACAAACAGGTGAAATATAAAACCCCATGGAGTGAAAAATGCAGTATTAATACAGCATCCTTTAAAACACTAACAATTAGAAGCCACAAATGGTACAATCCAGAGCCCCTCAAAATCAGTGGAAAGACCACCACTAATTTCAGTGATTTCCTGGATTAGGTCCTAATTGGCAAGGCATCTGAAGCCTACTAGGTGCTAATGAGCACCTGGAACATGTGTTCATCAGACTGCAACATGGGCTGCTAGTGAAGGCAAAGAAACACCTCTACCTTCACCCAAATTCATGGGAACAAATTCCAGCTGACATAACTCAGGGACAAATTTCTGAATTATCATACTGAATTATAAGTTTTTATGCACTGAACTGACATCAACATAAAACATGAAATCTTATGAACAGTCAAAACAATTGAGACACTAAGGACATACCACAGACACTATTTAAACCAACATGCAATGGACGTAAGTTACACCTCTGAAATCAAGCTGCGTTAGAATATATGTTGAGCTCCTCAACGTTTGTCTTTCCAAGAGACTCTTGGAACGTGTGTCTATAAACAGGAAAACTATTACACTATCTTTCAATGGGCCATCTAGTAAATTACTAAAAATCCATGTGAAAGCTGACTTTTAAATGCATTAGGAATCTACTGCTTTGTCCCTCACCGACTAAAGCCTACTATATTTCATACCTATATGGAAACATGAACTGGAATTGAAGCTTTCCATTGCCTGGTACAGACTACAAGATGTTAACCCACAATGGAACCTTACTGTTTACTATTCTAGTTGTACTCAGATTCATTTTGTGATAAAAATTTCATAATATTACTGAGGAGAAGATTAGCACTTGAGTCAAAACTTGATATGGAATCCAGACCTTCAGAGCCCTGGTGACAATAATATGTTATTACTGAGGGCTGAATGCTGTGAGCCACTGAGGCCACGGAGCACTGAGCCTGCCAGAGCCTGGTGGGACTGCACCATCAATACATTCCATGTAACTTAATGGTGTATATTCATTTTTGCCGATGAGCAACAGGTTACCACATGTATTGCACCTGACCTGGAAAAAGCTTTACCTGAATGCAGTTTATACTGGACATCCTGGCGTACCTGAAAGGACTGGGGAACGAGGCTGCAGGATGAGCAGTGACATAGCTACTCCCTGAGCCACTGACACTCCAGCGCTGCTGACAAGAGTCACACAACCTGTCAGTCAGGTATGTGATTAGTCCCTTAGCACAGACACACTGATACTGTTTCCCAGACAGATGGGAGTCAGGAATGCAGCCCATGGATCTGCAGAGCTACAGGGAAGAAAGGTTTTTGTCTAGAGAAGTCATCCTGCAAAATTTTTCAGAGAGATTTTTGTGGCTAGGAAGGAAATCACCAGTGGAGATTTGAAATAAGTGTCTCAGACCTTTTTCCAGCAGCATGGACTGAGACAGCAATTATGCCATCAAGCTTTAGGCAGCTTTAGATTACAGCCAATCACACTACATACTGCCTGTCACCTGGCTGCAAAAGACAAATATTTAGAAAAACCTATGTCTAAAGTGTATATTATACAGTCATATCTTACATTGTCCCATCTGTACACTGGGAATCTTACCTTCTCTAAAATCTACTAAAACACCCACTGCTGTTAAATACTGCTGATTAGGAAGTATATTATCATTCATAGACAGCTATTTAAAAACAACTTACTAAAAATTACTGCTTACAGGTGATATCTTTAACTTTCTTATTATTCAGACTAAATGCACTCTTTAAATGGGCACAGTCTGCTTTTCCTAGCATAATTAGACCATACACAAAGCAAGAACTGTAAGAACTTGTAATATTCTTCTGCTTGGAAAAAGAATCTAGTGGACAATTCTACAACACTACTAATTTGGTGGCAATAATAATATCCAGATTTGATACATTATTATATATTTGATGCAAAATTATAAATGTTTGAAATACCTTGTTAAAATTTAACGTGCCAGAAAGTTTAAATTTACCATAGTTTACAGATTTAATTTTTTTTTAATCCAATTTTGCTTATCTCTGCTTGGAGAAAAGCCAATTCATTTCCTAAATACATTTAAACAGCAGGTTAGCACAATGCCACAGCTACTAGGATTATTAAAAACTCACATTGATACTATGTTACCTGAAATTTCTGCTAAAGTTGTCCATAAGGCAGACAAATAGAGCATAAAAAATTGCATCTGCTGGTTTGGGGCTTCAGGTGATTCCTATCTAGGTATTAAATAACCTGATATATAAGCATATATCTAGAGACACCATTTATACATGCACACCATCAGAGTGGGGCTCACTACTGAATAAAGCAAATCGTGCTGCTGCCCTCAGAACATAGCTGGAGCTGTGCTCACCCAATATTTGCCAAAAATGTGGAGTGAAATTCCTAGGTTCTCATGCTCACCTTAGTTTACACAACACATACACATCATTACAGATCATATATGGGATACTGCTGCCTGATATAAAGGATTGATTGTCCTAAATTTAGGGTGGCTGCATGACATATGAGACTCCATATATTCAGCTTAGGGCTAGCAGTGAGAACAAGAAAAAGAAAAAGTAAAAAGCAGCCTGTGCACGACTGTTCTACACAAACTCCATTGGCTCAGTATTTATTTTCACTTCTCAAATTTCAAGTTTTGATGTCAAAATACTACCAAAAAACCCCCACATCATGTCCAGAAGGATTCAGTTTATTTTTCATGAAAGGTTCCACATGCTCATTTAGAAGGATACTTGATGCATTGAAAGTTTAATCTAAGAGGGGAAAAAAAAAAAAGAAAATAGAGTGCTCTTCGGAGTTTGGTCCCCCAGGATATATCCCTTTGTGACTGACCTGCAGTCACCAGCATAAAGGCCAGCCTGGTGTTAGAGCTTCCACTAGGAAAGAGCTTGCAGGAGCAGGAGTTACCACGTCTGTTACTAACAGCCTACCTCTAACCAGAGTCAGCACAGGCACAAGAGGATCTGTTAAGTTACAGCCCCACAAACAGAAGGACAACTCAGTATGTCATTATCTGATTTCCCTTCCAAACAGTCCCAGAAAATGCAACCCAGACCTTCTTGTCAGAGGCACATTCTTTACGGCAACAGGGAGCCAGATGACAGTGGATGATCCTGGATCGCAGAGCTGCTCTGACCATCCTGCCATTGGGAGTCTGTGACACACCCCCAGCTGTGCTCGGTGTACGAGCTGCAGACAAACCTCGTACTCACAGCTGGTGCTATTTTTATACTGAGCTAGCAGGTATTCAGGGTTTTAAACATGATTTCAGCTGCTGAGGTATACGTACTGTAGAACATAAAACAACTCCTACATTTCCCCAGCTACCACAATCTAAAGCTACATTGGAGTGGTCATTTTATCCGAACTATCTAACAAAATGCATATAATTCATTCTGTCAAAGTAAAAAAAGACTTGTACTATAAGCATCAGGTTCTTTTCCTTCTTGACACTTAAGACTTCTGGGAATCTGACTGCTGGAAGCGGTTTAACTTCTCTGGATTATTTGTTGCCATTTGAGAAAAGTCACGAAAAATGTCCTGATAAAGTTCATCTCCTAGATAGAAAAGAAAAGGGAAACAGTATTAAACATTTGTGATAGTCAACATCACCCACCACTGCACAAATGCTCTACTGTGCAATCAACTACTGTGTA